AAAAAATCCAAGAATTAGTATTGATGTATGAATCGATTCTGACATTTGCTCTAATGGCTTCTATACAGCCCAATACTAGTACTCCGGAGACGCCATTTGCCATATTCTCATCTCGTACAAATAGCCCCTTCATTTGGGCCGGGTATCATCATTAGCATCCTCCATTGTTACGTCTTTCACGTTTTTACATGTCCCAAGTGTTGTATTTTGCTATTTGGCACTTGGAATTCTGGCAAGGGTAATCGGTTTGCCGTCGAGACGTGGCTGTTTAAAGCTCACCGTTAGGGAGCCATTCCAGGGCCTCTTCGTCAAAATCGTGGCTATCGACGTGTGTTAGACACCCATCGCTGAGATGAGAAAAATCCAGATGCTTACGAGTGGTACTTGGTATTTGTCAGAGCTTTCTCAGTGTACTCTGAGGTGAGCATCTCCTTATAGCGATAAGGGATCTTTGCCGGCACCCCTTCGAACGTGGTTTCTCGAAGGGGGAAAACATACGTATCCTAATCAAGTCAGAGCAAGTTTATACTGGATTCATATCAGAATAAACGCACCTTGTATTCGTGGCCATGCTTGTCATACAGGATACCCTCGCCCTTGGCGTGGTCAGGGTCGTATCGTGCAGCAGTAATGTCGATGAACAATCCGGTTTGCATGTCGATCCACCGCGCGTCAATGACATTGAGGAGGTCGTCTTGGTCACGATACTTGAAGTAGGGGTTGATCTCGAGCTGGAAGAACTTGCCCTCCTTCATGTCCCCGTACTTGTAGTACCAGATGGTCATGTTGTGATATGCAGCAAGGTAGTACATGTCTGCCTCAGTGACTTGCACGTCCGCATCAGGGTCCCAAGGCATGACCTATGTACAAAACACGATTGTTAGTGAGATGGATCAAGCGAATGGCATCAGGAGATGTCGAGAACTTGCCTGTTTGCCCCACCACCAACCAAGCAGCGTGCCGTGCATCAACCACGTCTGGATGCCGAGCTCTCGGAATGTAGAGAGATAGGTCTGGATAAGAATGCGAATAGCAGCTCTCTGTTCAGGCTCTCTGAGAGGCCCCTTTTCAAATCTATCATCATAATGCGCTTGTTGTCTTGATTGCAGATGAAGAGGTTAGTTCCTGCGAGAATGGGCAACTTCGTCATGAGACATACCGAGACTCCTCTGTGAGATGTTGGTCAGCCCAGGTTCCCGTCTGCAAGTAAGCCACACTTGGGCATGTACGCGTATAGAAAATAGAGACGCGTATCTCGCATCTCCAAAAAAAAAAAAGAAGCATAAAAAATTACAGGCCGACTTACTAAAGTACTTTGGCTCTGGAAAATGCCGAGTCTCGCTCTTCTGAAGCCATCTCTTGGCGAGCCCCTGGACTGACGTCGACTCGTCTTTGATAGCGGCGGCGCTGGCTAGAGCCAAACAGCTTGCCGCTGTGAAGAAGGAAGAAAGTCTCATCTTTCGGGTGTTTCTCCTTTTCTTCCACCCCTGGCACTGGATTGAAGACAGCTGAGAAGATGCTGATGGCTTCTTTGGTGGTTGAATCCGTTTGCGCCGCGAGAGATGAGTTGCGACGGCCAAGATCTTTTCGGTGGATCCAGGGGTTCAACTGGGCGACGATTCGGTCCCGCCGGATGGACGTTGAAGATCAAGAAGTCGTGGGAGTGTTGAATTACTTGATAAAGCGAGGAGGATCAAAGAAGCAAGGGGGAAGACACGAGTAGACGGGTACAGATGTTGTCTTCTTCAACACCCTCAAATTTCGAAGCCTCAATTAAAAAAACCAATGGCGCGTGCAACAGTGGAGGCCTTGTCATTGCGTATGCGTCCAGCTGGCCGCAAGAACAGGAACAAGGAGGATTTTCATGGGTGAAACGGGCGAACCCCTGAAGGCTTCCCAAGGCCGGGACACGCCAGTGCCGCGTCACCCACTATCGGCTTGTGGGGACGGGCACGAAGATGCCGATTGAGCCATGGGGTTGGTTGTCATTGTAAATGAAGCCATCGCCGTGTTGCTGCGAGTGGTGGAAAGGGCTGGAACTCGTCATGTCACACTGAGGTTTGATCTTGGCGCTGCCGGTTGGAGACAAGGGAGCACAAGGTTTTTCGGTCGTTGTGAGACAATGTGTTAGGGTACATGGCAGCTGGTGAAACACGGCAGGACTTCGTAACTGCCTGCCTACCTACAGATTACTTGCTTCTTGTGCGAACTACTATGTTAGACCAACCAACAACCTGTTAGCCGGTCTATATCTGCAGGACTTCCCATCTGTCTCATGTATCTACATCTTGGCTGACCAGAGCCGCTATCCACGCCACGACAGCCTTTTCTACAATCGAAGATGAAAAGGTAGCAGCAAAGATGAAATCATGCTTCCAATAGTGGTTCCACTCTAATTACCACCGCTCGCACTTCCCGACACTAACGAACCTAGGAACACAACGTGGCTAGTAACTCGGTACATGCATCCTTGTCATGCGCGTATCTAACCTTCATCACCGCACTAGCCGCAACTACCAGCAAATCTACAATTGCACATTCGGATACACTCTCTGCGCCTTCCCATCAATCAACTCATCGACAAAATCCGCGAACTTCCGATACTCGAAGTCCGGGTACAGCTCTCGCCCGTTGACGTATCCCAGGTAGTCCGCGTTCTCAGGCGTATTGTCCTCTCTCACGTACTTTGTCACGTCGTACTGAGCTCCAACTTGCAAGTATGTTTTGGGGAGGTTGGTTGGGTCGGCGTCCAATTCCTTTCTTGCCGCTTCAAGAGTGGCGTAGAGTTCCTCGGCCGATTTCTGTGCCAATGGTATTTAGCAGCTTGACTGAGTAGGCAGAGTGACAGGTTGGCACTTACAGCAGGCAAATTCAGCTTCTCGCCGGTCTTCTTCTCAATGAGGGCGTGGATCTCATTCTGAGTTAGGACTTCCCCATACGCGTACACTCGCTTGTTCAGCGTCCGCGCATCGTTAATAATCCTCACTGTGATAGTCCCAACGTCTCTCTTATCAATGAGCATATTCCGCGCAGTTCCGCCAGCGTACACCTCATTCAAAGGCTTAAAAGCCGCATAGTCGAACCTGCCGCTCGGTACAAGGGGAAACGAAGATTGGTACCAATACCCTATATCGATAATAGTGAAACCCAAACGTTTGCGAAACATGTGGTCATGGACTTCCTCTTTCAAGTCGTGGAGGTCCATAATCCCACCGCGCGCAACGGGCGTGCCCCAGTTGCAGGGCAGGAAGCGCTTGACGCCGGCTTCGACAGCGGCGTCGATGAGGGGGATTTGGTCGCGAGCGTTGATAGGGAAAATGACGCTGATGACGATGTCGATGCCTTTCAGGAGAGAAATGAGTTCCTGGACTGACGTAGTGAGGTCACCCGCCACAATCTTTATGCCTCGAGTTTGGAGTTGCTTAACGGCAGGCTTCGCGACTGAGGCAGCGCGGACGAAGCAAGTCACGTCCTACGAGAAATCAATCAACACTGTCTTTGAAAGTACATGATATCGAAAAATGAGACTTACAAATGAACCATCTTCGAGAAGAGCTTCGAGAATGACGCTGCCTGTCTCGCCTGTTGCCCCAACTAGGAAGACTTGTTGTTTAGACATGGCTGTGTAAACCAAACCAAGTAGATGATTAATAGTTGTGTTGGTTTATTGTATTGTGATTCATTTAGTAAAGGGGGAAACTGGATATATATGGCATTTAAACGGCTTGCAGTGATTGATAATACCTCTTGGCAATAACGTTATAAGCGTCGTGTGGTATGGAGGCCATGCCCTGCTCATCCAAGTTCCATTATAAATGTGAGCCGCGATCGTGTGAGAATGGGCTCACTGAAGCCGTTAGTACCTTGGTATCAGGCTATGATTATTCGTTGCTTAGTACTCGTGTAAGTGGCACGTTGCCTTGAATATACTTTGGATGGATTCAATGGCCACTGGCATGCTCATTTCCACACAACGTGTGTGATTATTGCTGGTGATCTAGCTACTCGATTCTTGTGCCAAAACACCTTACCCATGTAGCTATACTTTGCCCTTTGGCATCACAAACCCCATGTGCTTGGCCCTCACGATATACGTTTTGTTTTATGACCAGAGCTGCTTGACTCGTGACGTGCGAGGATGGTGAGTTCTCTGATAGCTGAACGAGGCGGTCAGACTACCCGGAAGTGTCGTAGATGACGGCTGGGAGTATGGAGGGAGGATGTTTAAGATTGGAAAAATTCGATACACTTGATCTTTGGCAGAGCTAAATGAAAACAAACGAAGTCATCCCGTTGCTAAGACGACAAAGATTCAACAATAATATGCCAGGTAATGACAAGGTCGCTACAACTTTACCAAAGCAGTACAAGGCCTTGTCTAGGAGATTGGAAGGAAAAGGAACGGGAACTCTTCTAGGTAAAAGATGACATCCATGCGATCAGCGAGACTACACGCATCTTGAGAGAGAGAGAGAGAGAGAGAGAGGAGGAGGGGAGCGTGGTAATTACCAAGCGGAACGAGAAGAGAGATGGTCGATCGTGTTGTTAGTGTTCGAGATTGCACAATCCTGTGAAGCTGTAGAGGAGTTAGGCACAGACTGAGCTGAGTCTTCGTTGCACGCGAGCGTCCAGAACGAGGACAATCGATCCAGGGGATTCGAGTTGGAGACTGGTTCCAGCCCCTTCATAGGTATGCTTAACTTTGATTGAAACTGTCACTTTGGTTATTTCTCTTCATTAATTTAGACACGCAGCTGGACATCGGTTTCATATGTGGTCAAGACAACAGCTTCAACAAGTACGGTTATCACGAGCAATAAGGTTGCCTTTTGTCAAGCTCATTGCCCTTATAGCTCAGTGGTAGTAGCGTTGCACTTGTAATGCAAAGGTCCATCGTTCAATCCGGTGTGGGGGCAAGCTTTTTGCCAGCGGCTTGAATCTTTTGTTAATTGCCGACACGCAGGAACATAACCATGATCTGATTCGCCGCTTATCAAGCAGCCTTTATAGCTCAGTGGTAGTAGCGTTGCACTTGTAATGCAAAGGTCCATCGTTCAATCCGGTGTGGAGGCATGCCTTTACTCTTTTGCTGATTTGCCCTATGGAATTTCTTTTTGTCAAGCTTGTCGCACCAACAGAATAGATAAGACTCTTTGTCCTCTTGAACTTTGTATTAAACGGTCTAATGCAAAGTCTTGCGCATGGGTTGTTCTGATCCTCTATCGTATTTGCCTATGACGACAAACAACAACAATAGAAATGAGCTTGTCTCCCCATCAATCAGTTAACCAGTCGCCACATGCTAAACGGTGAATGCAACCTAATGGTAAATGCATCCTGATGGAAAAAGAGCATCCAAGCTCCCGGCAAACTATTACAATTAATATTATTCGTCCATAAGTCAAAAGTACACCCCCCGGCCAACATATGCATTGCACTGGAGATAGCGGAGTTAGCCGTTCCTCCCCATTCCGCCATCGACGTCACACTTGCGATTCCAAAATCTCCCCCAGTAAGCCAGTAAGCCACATTATGGGTTAACGATGCCTCACGCAAGTATTGCTGTTAAGAACAAGCTCGGCATGGTCGCATCCCCTCTAACGGGGGAGTACCTGTGGCCCAAGGGATGCATCTTGCCTCTGGATTTAAGCCCATCTTCAACGGGTTTCACGGCTCGCCCGGTATCCCCGCCATCAGCTGCCCGGCCGTCAACGGGAGGACCAAGTATAAAAAGGCCTCTCAATCACTTGTGAATTGAGAGAAGACGTATACTTACACCAACAACCAACACTCATACGATTCATACCTGCACCGCTACAATGTCAACTCCAAGAAAGACCCCGACCCGCCAACTAGGCAAAGACGGTCCTCAAGTTCCCCGTCTTGGATTCGGCCTGATGGGTTTAAGTGTGGCCTATGGCACACCACCGTGAGCTACCGTTCTCAGCGAAAGCTTGTAGATTCACCGCTAACACGAAACAGACCCGATGAAGAGCGCCTGAAAGTCCTCGACCGAGCGTGGGAGCTCGGCGCGACATTCTGGGACTCGGCGGCGGCGTACGGCGACAACGAGGCACTCATTGGGAAGTGGTTCAAGTTGCATCCGGAGCGACGCAACGACATTTTCCTCGCTACCAAGTTTGGCCTGTCATGGAAAATGGAGAATGGCGGGTTCACGACGATGATTGATAGTTCCCCTGAAACATGTCGAGAGTCCTGCGAGAAGAGCCTGCGCGTTCTCGGGGTCGATTCTATTGATCTCTTCTACGTCCACCGCTTCGACAGTGTGACACCAGTTGAGAAGACCATGGAAGCATTGGCGCAATTGAAGAAGTGAGTGCGGACGGATGACCCCTCATTTATTTCGCATAAAGACGCTGACAGGATGCTGTTTAGGGAGGGGAAGATCAAGAATATCGGGTTCTCCGAATGCTCTTCCGACACTGTTCGACGTGGCTATGCCGTCCACCCCATTTCAGCGGTGCAAATCGAGTACAACCCGTGGTCCCTCGAGATTGAGGATGAATCGGGCACGAACCTCAAAGACACCTGTCGGGAGCTTGGTGTAGCCATTGTCACGTATTCCCCCTTGGGTCGAGGATTCCTGACCGGCCGCTACCAGTCCATCGACGACCTCCCCGAAACGGACAACCGTCGGCTCATGCCCAGATTCTTCCCTGAGAACTTCTCAAAGAACGTGGATCTCGTCAAGATCTTCGAGGATCTGGCGGCTAAGAAGGGTTGTGCGCCGTCACAGGTGGTGCTTGCTTGGATCATGGCTCAGGGACCGGACTTTTTCCCCATCCCCGGGACGAAGAATATCAAGTATCTGGAGCAAAACATGGGCGCCCTTGATGTTCAGGTCAGCTCCGATGAAGATGCGTATATCCGGGCTACTTTGAGCTCGCTGGGAGGTGCGAGCGGTAGCAGAACTCTCGGTGTGTCGAATGCTTATGCAGACACGCCTGCGCTTTCTTTTGTCTGAGATTTGAGATGTGAGCCAATTTGAACAAAAAAGGTTCTCGGTACCTAAAGTATAGTTGGTGAATGGAGTGTGTTCCTTTCTCGCATTACTGACAACCAGTATTGGCGGGACTTAGGCGTGAGCACTAATGTATTGGCCTATTTAAAGGCACATCTTTGTTAGATTAAACCTGGAAGTCTGACGCTGCATGTTTATTTGTCAATTATTCCACACCGTTTCATGAATAAAGAATTAATAGTTTGTTGTAGCATCTCGCAAAACCGTCCCATTCGGAAACATCCATGATCCCACCTTGCTGGGGACTCCACCCTCGAAAAGGCGTCATCGCCGTCTCATCCTCCACCACCTCCGATTTGCCCCGCAGCAAAGGAGAGATAAGGATTTGGTGATATCCTCAAAAAGAACAAGGCTGACTGACCTCTTTGGATTTCTTTATTGTTTGATGTATCGGGACGACCTTTGGGCTGGATTAACGATCACCGGTGCACTCTGTTTGCCGTCCGTCGCATCACCTATTGTCACACCACAACAATTGAATTCGAGTATCCTCGACTACCAATTGAACATGGCTCGTCTCACTCAGTACGCAGCCTATATCGACTCAGCAACCGGCCTCTCTCGAATCGGCCACTTCAACCTGGAAGCAGACACCATTCAACCATTATCCTTCACTTCCGGCACGCCCATCGCAGATTTATACCAAGTCATCGCAGCTGGCACGGACAAGATCATTGCAACAGGACCCCCTATTCCCTCATCATCCATCAAGCTCCTTCCCGCCATCTCAGGCCGCGATGTCCTCGCCGTTGGCAAGAACTACATGGAGCATGCCAAGGAGTTCAACAGCTCCGGCTTCGACAGTTCCGACAAGGTCGACCGTCCGAGCCACCCCGTCATCTTCACTAAGAGGGCGACGTCCATCATTGCGCATGGCGAGGCAATTTATCCTCATCCTGGCTTCTCGAAGACAATCGATTATGAGGGTGAAATCGGCGTCATTATAGGACGTGCAGGTCTTCATGTCGAGGAAAAGGATGCTTGGGACTATGTCTGGGGGTACACCATCATCAACGACATGACGGCGAGAGAAAGACAGAGAGATCACAAGCAATTCTTCATCGGCAAGTCGCCCGACACCTTCTGTCCTATAGTAAGTCACTGGCTCGACCGTTTTGCTCACCGATGGCGTTTCTGAACAGTGTTTAGGGCCCCATTGCCGTACCCAAGGAAGCTGTCCCGTCTACACTTCGCGTTCAGACTCACGTCAACGGTGAGCTTCGACAAAACGCGACCACTGACGATCTCATCTTCTCGATACCAACTCTCATTAACACAATATCCGCTGGCCAAACGATTCAGCCCGGAGATGTGATTGCTACAGGCACCGTGAGTTCACATGTCGCGGGTTGACTGCTTCCACTAACCTCTCATCCCTTCGCAGCCCGCAGGTGTTGGCATCGGCAGAAACCCCCCAGTTTATTTGAAGCCTGGTGATGAGGTTGCCATCTCTGTTACTGGCCTAGGCACTTTGCGCAACAAGGTTGCCGCTCCATCAGAACCCAGTCCACCTGCTTCAAAGTCTCCCTTTACACTCATTAATGCATCCAAGACTGTCAACGCAACCTCGTCTCTGACTGAAATCAACTCCAAGCCACTTCACTACAAAAAGCTCGGGTCGGGTAATGAGCAAGTGGTATTTGTGCATGGACTTGGCGGATCGTTGGAGGGCTGGATCCCGCTTATTTCTACTCTGTCGTTGACCAAGTCACGGAGTCTACATCTCTTCGACCTCGAGGGCCACGGACTGAGTCCAACGCACCCTCTCAGTGAGGTCACTATTGAGTCAATCGCCGGCGATATTGGAGGCGTCTTTCACCATGCGCAAATATCTGAGTCCAACCCCGCCATTCTCATGGCTCACTCCATGGGCACTCTCGCGGCCATTCATTTTACGCTCAGCAATCCAAAGCTCGTAAAGAAGCTCGTGCTTATTGGGCCGCCTCCTTCGCCATTGCCCGAACTGGTCACTAAGTCGTTCCGCGATCAAGCAGCCGTAGTGAGAAGCAAAGGCATAAGTGCAGTGATTGACACGACCGTGTCTGGCAGCATATCAGCTCATTCCCAAGTGACGAATCCTCTCGCAGCAGCAGCTTTGCGAATCAGCATTCTTGGACAGGACCCGGAGTCTTACGCCAAAGCACTCTGGGCACTCTCGAAGGCCACGACTGAGCTGAGGGTTGAGGGGATTGAGGCTGACACGTTGGTTGTCACTGGTGGTAAAGACGTTGTTTCGCCTCCGGAGCTCTGCGCGGAGTATGTGAAGAGGATTAAGACGTCGTGCTTGGTGGTGCTGAACGGCGTGGGCCATTGGCCGCAGTTTGAAGACCTGCAAAGTCTCGCTGAAGCCGTAAAGGAATTCGTATAAAACCTAGAACCTGCAAGTCTCACGGGACATGCCTTAATGACAAATCTAGTAGCCAGGCCTGATGCAATGATACAGCCTTGAGTTTTGCGTACCCAGCTTAAATCGAGACGTGGCCGCAATGCCTCCTCGAAAATCATGCCTCCTAAACATTCTTGCTTGCTCGGTTCAAACGCAAAAGCCCATCATGGAACCTACACAAACCTCACAGCCACATCCAACACATGAGCCGGGAGCGGCCATGCCCAAGAGCCCCGATCCCTGGCCTCCAAGCCAGGAGCCGCCACTAATGGTAGTTTTAATGTACATTTTCCTATGGATCCTATTTCCATAGGTAGATGTTGTCTTGGTTGTTGGTGTCTTCCACATATCCCCGCCACTGTGCATTCAATGTCTCACTGCCAGGTGACTGACAGCTCATAAGGAGCTGTAACTTTGTAGAGACGGACTCATTGGCCGGAAATCTGGGCTTCAATACGCCCAACTCCGTCTCTCATCAGGCAGTCAAATACACATGGGTGCCTGAACGCAGTCCAGATCACCAAAACTCGCCAGATTTCGGTTTCGTCAACTCACAATGACGAATTGCAAACGTGTCAGCATTCAGTGGCCCCTCTGAATCCCCGTTCGGATTTACTCGCCGGACTTTACACTTCGTTCTCGGTG